TTAAATGCACGCACATTAGGGCCCGTTGCCTTAGGGGAACCCATTCATCTGAGGGCCCTTCTACGCTACTGTAATGTACCTTGCCGGGCATTGTGGTAGAGCGCGCAGTAATTGCATGTTCAGGCCCCGAATGGGATGTCAACCCATGGCAATGGATCATGGAACGGATCAGCGCAATGGATCATGCATGCGGCACATCGCAGTGCACTTTGCTGAGCTGCGATGCATGTCCATTGGCAAGGTGCATTGGGGCGCCATTCAGAATAAATGGCAGCGCGGTGCAGCACGGCATGTAAAGCGTTTTCACATGTTACCTCAACCACAGTGTGAACGGGCCCTTGGCGTTCAAATCTTCCCAACTCAAAGGATCTTCTCATCCTCCACCCAGCTCACTACCGATGTGTTCACCCCCCTCTCATTACCAAGTGATTACTTTATCCTGGAGCTGCTCAACTCCATTTAAGGAGAAGTACGGGGTCAGTGTTTTTCCTCATAGTTCTCCTTAGGGTAACGGGGGGACACAAACTAGCGTCCTCCCGTCACCCTAAGCTCAGTATATAGGGAGCTACAGCTCGCGGTATACTGAGACGCCGCAGCCGGAGCGGATCCTGACAATTATGTCTGGATCCGCCCAGCTGCGTGAGTGACAGCTGGCTCTGCCTATCTAGAGGCAGCTGTACCCGCCCCCTCCCCCGTCCGTTCCGCCAGTCAGCGCTGGAGGATCGGAGCGGGGAGCGGGGAATCCAGCCCCTCCCCTGTCACGGCAGAGAGCTGTGACAGGATCGAGGGGTGAGCGAACGCCGGTATGTGTTCGCTCACCTCCCGATCTACTGAGCCGACCTGTCACAGTCTCATTGTCACAGGTCGGCTAGAACTATGAGGTGAGTGAAAAGCACCCCCTCCCCCCCTCCCTCATACTTCTCCTTTAAAGCTGAACTCCGGGCAAACCGCTAAATACACAGATAACATACATCTATGGGAGATCTATAACCTGCCGAAGGGTTTGTATCTCTGTCCATCCAGTGCTAAGAATTACGCAGCTCCACCAGGCTGTCCGGTGACCTCACTTTTCTCTGATACTGTGAAACAAAACAACCTGGTCACCAGCCCGCCCCTAGGCTGCCATTGGACAGTGAGAAAGCAGGAAACCTTTTAATAAGTCTCCGCTCTCTCCTCATGTAAGCGCGTGCCTTGCAAACACATGTGATTGCAGGACACCCGATTGGCCTGCGGTACTGCTCCCATTCTCCTGAAATCAAGTCGCCCTCTGGGCATATGTATGTTAGGGAGCCCTGTAGGCTGCCATTTTGGAAATGCTAGATTCCTGGCTGTCCCTTGTTTCAAAGCTTTCTAAGCCACTGACCGGGAACAAGCATGCAACCAGTGAAGCCACAGAGCAAAACGTTCCCGTTCCCGGAGCCTTATTGTCGGTGTGCTATCTGAACATTCAATCATTCCAGGCGGATTACCTCGATGGGTCTCTTCTTCTTCCCCACGTTGTTGGTCTGAAGTTTTTCCGGCTGCGGTAAGGCTCTGCTAACGGGCGGTCTGAAAGAGAGAACCGCGAATAAGAAAACGCCAATCCAATCGCCCCAATACCGCAGGAGGTCTGCAGAGGCGGGGGCGAGAGAGGAAGGACTGTGCTCCGTCACGGACCGCCGCCTCCTGCAGGACTCCACACTGACCACTAGGGGGCAGGCAGGCAACAACGCATCCAGTGAAGGTCATTATGGGCGCAATGTAATGGTCTGCACGGCCGTGATGGGGGAGGCACATGGACGACATTCAGATGTGAGAGAGAGGCGGGCGGCGGGCGGATTGGAGATGGAGGAGAACGGAAAGAAAGAGGAATTACCTGGAACCTCTAGCCAGCAGCAGGCAAGAGAAAGATAAGGATTACACACAGCAGGACAGCTCGAGGACAAGACTCAGGGCTTATGTACCAACGTACCGCCAAATGCTGCCACCCACCCAAACCAGACCAACCAACCAACAGAGAGTATATAGAAGAATGGAACAGAGTCAGAGTAACACAATACGCTCATTGATCTCCTTCCTAATAAATAGAAACCTTCATAACACAAACAGTGGCCGGATTATTACATACACCTAGTGGCCGGATTATTATATACACCGAGTGGTCGGATTATTATATACACTGAGTGGCCGGATTATTATATACACCGAGTGGCCGGATTATTATGACCACCTGACGTTTGTAGACAATTAGCTATAATTAGGCGCTGAAGTTGCTAGAGGGCCAGACCATTATAAATAGGGAAGCGGGTTGGTTACCACGACAGTAGAAGTGATTGGGAAGATTCGGGGAAACAACGCGATGTAACAGCCTTTGAACGCGGGATGATTGTTGGCGCTCGGAGCCATGGAGCGAGTATCAGCAAAACAGCAGAATGCGTTACATGTTCAGGAGCGGCTCATTGTTAAAGTGTTTAAAGACCGGACTGTCAGCCGAAAATCTGGGTCTGAACGTGCGAATTGTGTCCGTCAGCGACTAGTCAATGTTAGGGCAGAACGGGGGAGGGGCAAGACTGGTACAAGACAACAGAAGGGCAACAGTGCCGTGTCAGATTCCTCGCATCACCTTTCATCATCTCGTGGAGTCACCAGGCGGCCCAACCAAGTACTGATGGGGGGGAGGGGGGAGTCATAATAATCCGGCCACTCAGTGTATAGTGCCAATATACCCAATATCACAGGGCTATGTGTGTTCTGGATGAGCCTCTGGCTCCTGCGATGTCCAGGAATGACTGGTAAGGCTCCGCCCATGACAAATATTCTTTTGCTTAAACTCCGCTTAAAACAACATGTTTATCGAAGACTTCCCCGTCCACAGGGTGACAGCGCTGCTGTGTGATTTCACTGCAGAATGAACAGCGTTGTCACCCTTTTACAGGAAATAGAAAAATGATTGGCTCCAATGGCAGGTTCCCTGTTACAGGGGAGACTCGGAAAACCAAAACCTGATGTGTTAATGCTCCTGACAGACGGGATCAGATATGTGATCTTTCTGGCAATTGCTCCATTTTAGAGAGGCGATGTACATTTCGGGATTCTCTGTAATGATGAAGAGGGGGGCGTGGTAGTGTTGGCCTGAAATAAATCAGGGATTAATTTATGTTAATCTAAGAGATTATGTTTTTGACAGTCTCATTGTCACAGCTCGGCTAGAACTATGAGGTGAGTGAAAAGCCCCTCCCCCTCATAGTTCTCCTTTAAGGTTCAGAGACATGTGACCCAGTTGCGGTTTCAGGCTGCCGCCTCTCCGATCGCAGTGAACAAACCGCTCAATGATCACCCATTTTAGGGTATAAGGTATAGGGAGCGCGGGGTATAAATCGTCAGA